ACCCAGCATCCCTCTATTCTTTTCCTTCCCAAATCCTTTCCCTTGCTACAGCCTAGCTGTCTAGCTCCCGTGTTCACCATCCCTAGGCAGACTGTAAATGTTTATTCAAATATCTGCTTTCTCACTAGTCTGTAAGCTGCATGAATTCAGGAACTGTGGCTGCCTTACCAGTGGCTCTCCAGGGCTCAGTCCTGTACCTGGCACACAACAGGCCCTCAAATATTGGCTAAATGTGCACTTTTAAAGGCCCAATAGCAAACTAGGTATAACACTAGATGTCCAGCATCAGACACACTGCCCAAACTCCAGCTGTCCATCCGTAGGATGAGATTACTAGTCACATAAAATTTGGTGAGAATTTAATGAAATATGACCCTTCTGCTCCAAAACAGGTAGTTATTACTTTTATCATTAGGTGTATACTCCTCCAGTCATTCGGTGCACATTTTCATATTGTTGTAACCACAGCTTTGAATCCAGTATTCCTGTTAAGAGCATTTTATTCATGAAATTACATTTCATGGATGTGTAAGATCTCATTTTGGTATAAACAATCACAATTTACTTTTAACTATTCTCTGTTGGGAATTTGAGGGTCATTTTTACCGCTATTTATAAAACATTAAACTGCACTGCCTTATGCATCCACCTTTTCTCTACTTTGATTTTATCCTACTTATTTCCAAAATAAAGAATTATTAAGTCAAAGGGTGTAGGCTTATATTGCCAAACTGATTTCCAAAATGTTCACAACTGCCTCCACAATGGCATGAAGGAATCATTTCCTAACACCTTCAACCGCTTCTGGTGGTATTTTTCCTTAGACCAAAAAAAAAAAAAAAAGCTGCTCTATTTTCTACTTTCTATTTTTGCGGGTGACCCGGTAGAAAGAGCGTTTCCCACGTGTTTTGGGATTTACGAATCTTAATTTCCCCGAGTTTGTCTGCTGCGGTATCGGGGAGCTCCCAGAACTGAGGATCGTCTCCCCTCACCCCAACTCACCCTGCCCAACTAAGGGGCAAGAGTCGAGGGCCAGGGCACGCAGAGGGCGCCTGCTTCCTTCCCCGCCCCAGGTCCTATAGAAAAGCTGGGTAGCACAGGCCGACGCCAGGCGGTCCGCCGCAGCCTGGACCCAAACAATTTCATGTTCCTAAAGGAAACAAGCAGGTCCCAAGTTCAAGTCTCTGACCCACGGCCTCGTACATAAGAGCGTGGCCTTCTGAGTCCACCAATTCCGAATCTCCCTCAAACCCCGGCGCGGCCGTGATCCTGAATCCCGGCTTCCCAGCCTATAAAATAGGGAGATTCAGTCAAGATGCCGCGCTCACAGAGGTCCTCCAGGGGCTCAAGCAGCTAGTGCCCCGGTACGCAGCCAAGGGTTCTTGGCTCGTCGCGAGACCACGTGGCGCGTGGCGCGAGTGGGGTGACCATGGCTGTGAACACAGCTCTTCCCTGTCCACTGCGGGCCCGCCCCCTCACCTCACTTCAGCTCTCCACCCCATCATCTGAGGCAATGCCGCGGGAGGGGGAGGCCCAGGCCTCGGGGAGGCCCGGCGAGGTTAGAGGCATCCACAACCCGCGCTAGTCCCCTTCCCTACCTCGGACTTTCGCACCGCTCTCACCAGCTTGCGCCACTGACGCGGAGGTCCCTCCCGCCTGTGCCGCAGAACTGCCACTACTCCGGCCTCACCTCTAAATGCTTCTAGCGCAGATCCAACTCAAGAAGGAAAAATCCTCTCCCCAGCCTTTATTGGTTCATCTGCGGAGGCGGGCCCTTGACAGACACTAGAATTGCCCAATGGTGAGGAGGGTCAGTGCGCAGGCAGAAGGGACGGACCAGGAGGGGCCAAATCCGATTCCTCCTCTCCTATCCCGAACCCGCCTTGCCCCGCTCTGACCCAGAGTAGGCTGGGAGCGGGGCTACTCTCTTCCAAGCCTCTCGTCTGGTCTCCCCACCTTCAACTTCGACTTGGCTGTAGCCACTCTTCCTCTACAGAGCAGGTAGGGTGACCCTTCTTAAACTCAAATTCCTGCTCTAAAATTTTCATTGACTCCCCACTGACATTAGACCTTGAACTGACAATTACATTGGCCTGACCACTGACAGTTGCCACAAATGATTAGTGGTTGCTAGGTTGAGAAAGGCTGAGAACCAGGACACCAAATATGTATTCCCTCGGTCCTTTCTCTTGTGGGCTTCCGGTTATCACCAGCTTCTTTATAAATTGCTTTAATGGAACTCTTCTAACTGTGATAAGTCAAATGCAGCCCTTCTCTGGAGGCAGGGAAAAATAGGAGATAACCAGAAAAGGCCACTTAGAATCCTGAGAATGTGGTCTTCCAGAAGGAAGACACACTGGTTACCTGGGAAGCCAGGCCAGCCCACCTGGACCCTCCAAAAATGTGCCTGCCATAAAACCGCTCCTGTCAAACTTGCCCGTTATAATAGTTATACTGCCACTCACCTTGGCCCTTTCCGGAAGTTTTACTAATAAGTGAGAATTTGCACTATCTCTCTTCCTGGATATTGAGATGACTGTTTCAAACTCAAACTAAAAATAACTAAGGAATTCTAAATAAGTGGATGTGTCCAAGTAAGAAGGTCCAAACCTATAGAGAATTTTTATAAGAGTTTATTTTAACCAAAACCAATGCCGTATGCTGGGGAGCAAGATTTCAAATACTCCGGATTGCAGCTTCTTTTATGCGTTTGAAATTAATGTGGGAATGTAAGGAAGATTACGTGAGGGCAGGAAGAAAGCAAAGTGGGGATTGGATTAGAATACTAGAAGATTATATGCTTTCTTAAGGGTGGTTATGCCTCCAAGTGACCTGCCCAAGTAAGAATTCATGATATATTACAGAACCCCTTTTTCGTCCACAGGTACAAGGTGTTTTTTGTATAGATAGTTCATTTGGGGTTACAGAGGGCCCTGCTTCAGGACAGAGGCAGCAGAGTTTAATTACTCAGTCTGCAGGCATTAATGGATACCTACAAATGTGTTAGGCTCTGGGCCAACTACTGGAGACACACAGATGGCTGCACTACCACACTATCCTGAGAAAAATTACATCATTCCACTAAAGCTGAAACCACAGAGTTTTTCTAAGTTACCACACACATGCCACTTCCAAAGTAAAAATGCACCCTTGAGGATTTTGTGCGTACTGGAACTTTTGTTTAAAGGCTATAACCAGCTCAGTCACCCATATGTGATGGCCAATTCAAGAACCCCATCCAGTCTTCTAAGGCTTCTTTGAACCAAGCTATTCTACAGAAAAAATGAAGGAAAATAATTTATTTCTCTCTTGAAAAAGAGAAAGCAGCAGCTCGGCTGCCATTTTTCTGAGAAAATATTTAAAAATGTTCAGCCTCACTCACAACCAAACAAATGTGAATTAAAAAGAGATGCTGATTTTTGTCAATCAACCTGACAAATATTAAGACATGAATAATACTTAATGTTGGTGAGTGGGCATTGCCATCTTGGTAGGTAGAAGTGTGAACTGAGGCTACTCAATGGACAGATCTTTGATTTATTAATTCTACTTCTTTTAATTTATCCTAAAGAGAGAGTCAAAGATAAACATTACAAATTTTTTACAATAAACATACATTACTACCTCTGGCATTATCTTACATAATCAGAATCATTTGGAAAGAGCAGTTGTGTGGGCCTCATAGTTGCCATTTGCACTTTAAATTACCAGTGACTCATATTATTTCTTGAAAGTAAATTTGGAGAGGAGCTTCAGGAGTCTGGTGTAGTGGAGAGGAGGCAAGAAGAAGTTGGGAGACAGCCCTGGAGCCCCCAGAAGTAGATTCAATCAGCAAGCAATGTTAGCATGGTATGGCCTGTGCTGCCCTGTGAATGTAGTTCTCCAGGAAATTTACCCTGTGGCCTCTTCCGCAGCTTCTGGGGAAGCCCCAACCCGAGTGCCTGGGGAGCCCTTTTCAGCCCATGGGCAACTCCATGAGGTACTTGCAGAGACCCTGGGCTGGATGCAGGGTGAAGGGGTGGAGTGTCAGTGCCTAAGCCTGAGCAACGGCCCCCAGCACCTAACAGGACAGTAAGTATGAGGTCGGAAAGGCCCAAAAGAGACAGAATGTCAAATGGAAAAACCAGATTACAACAAAGAAGAGAGGACCTTTTGATAATAACAACAATTACTTATTTGTGTATTTCTTCCTTCCTTTTGTGTGTGCCTCTTTGTATGCAAAGTTTAGTAGGACACATGCCAGCAGTTAACAATGCTTTTTCTGGCTCACGAAACTCTACGAACTTTCATATTCCTTACCTTTCCGTTTTCTTATTTACTTAAAACATTTTTTAACATGCAGCATGTATTTAATTAGGCAAATCTCTAATAATGTCTGTCCTACACATTTGCACATAGGAGCAGGAGGGAAGAAAACACAGCACAGAGAGATGCGGGCCGTCCTGGGGTACGGGAGGCCACTGGGGAAAGGGCAGGGCCTCCAGAGTGCTATTTTAGCTGGGAAATCAAGAAAGGCTCCTCTAATAAGCTAGGCTTTGGAGAGAGATCTGAAGTAACTTAGGGCATGACCCTGGTAATGTCTGGGAGAGAGCATATCTACAAGAGAAAACAGCAGGGACAAAGGTCCTGACTTTGTGGACCAAAGGAAAGGCTTGAATGTTATGGCCAGGACTGCCTGTCCCATCTCCAGCCCTTGGGCCAGAGATGGAAAAGACTTGAGAAAGCATCTCACTCGTGCTTTCCTAGAGTGTGCTCGTCAGAACACTATCCCAGGAAATGTTCTGAGAAAAAAGGGCACATCCCTACTACCCGCCATTGGAAGAGGTTCAAAATGAACAATGGCTTAGTTAAGACACTGAAAAGTCATGCAGAAAAATGAATTTGTCCAACTATACTGCAGCAGTCCCAAACACTTCACCAAGAGCCTCCTTTGCGCTGTAATATCTAGTCACATCTGGCAGAACCCATAAACTGTGTGAGACACCCATATATCCATTCTTTGAAGAGCAAAATGAAGTCTGTAGATCTGAACTGACTTCCCCAGGTTCCGCGGGGGAAGTCAGTTCAGACTCCTCTCGGCCACTTTAAGCTTGTGGCTGAGAGGAGTCTGTGCTCTGCTTTCTGGACTCACAGCCAAGCTACGCTCCTAGAAGCTTCTTATCCACATTTAATATCTTGAGGGACCAGTTTGGGCTTCTCCAAATCCAGAGAGAGAACTCCTGTACACTTCTCCAGGGAAGACAGTTACCTTCTCACCCTACATATTGTATTTTCGTTTAGCCCTCTTTAGGTAAAGACCAAAGTTTAAATAAGGCCTTCATCTCCATGGGTGCCAACAATGGGTGCCAACAATGGATGCGTCTTTTCTGAGCCTGGTCCCCCAGCAGGCAATGCAGGCCTAGTGCATTTCAAACACACTCGTGAAAAACCAAATATACTTTAATCAGCCAATAGCAACAATCAGAGCCTCCATCTGAATATGCCACTTATCCTAAAAGGCTGAGAATCCATGGACTGGGTATTTTTGATTCCCTGCTGAGAACCAGGGTGGCACTGTGGCCTTGAGGCTCATTTACAAAGTGCCAAGCCACTGAGCGCTTTTTACACTTGCTTTTCCAAAAGCAAATGCCTTCTCTGGCACCCATGTAATGTGGTGATTTCAGAAGCTGGGCCTTGGGTCAAGCAGACACGAGAACCCTATCACTGCCATCTATTGGATATATGACTTGGGAAAGGAACCTCAGCTGAATTTAGAGCCTGTGTTTCTCCATCTGCTGAATGGGGGCAGCCATTCCCATGTATGTAGTATAGGCAGACCTCTCCCCCAATCTGTGCAGTAGTTACACAATGGAGACACGGGGTGGAGTGTGGGGGGATGTTAAGGCAGAGCTGTCCTCCTTTCTTTGGCTCCAGAGTTATTTCTGTCCGAAGAACTGGGTCCTGTCACTGTAATCAGGACACCCCCATCCCCAGGCTATGCTGGAGACTGGGTCAAATTTAATTCAGCTTTATTCCACACTAACTTTCAGTTCCATATAACTACCTCCAGGGCCTTTGCTTCTGATGTTTCCTCTCAGGAACATGCTTCTGTATACCTTTGAGGAATAGTGGGGCCATGCCTGCCATTCCTTAGTAGCCCAGTGGTACTCAGTGGCACTGACCAGCTAGCTGCCTGCTCTGCCCAGGGCTGGAGCCCTGGACAACAGAGGAAACAAGAACTTACTGAGCCAGCGAAGCAGGAACACAAACAACAGCAAAATTATACAAATATTTTGACAATCTGCTGGGCAAGGTTCATTCCCAGCACAGTTATCCTAGACCCCTGCTGCTGGTGGATAGCTGGCTAAGGGACCAGAGACCGACCAAGATACAGCTTCACGTATGGCCATGAGGGGGCGTAAACACACCAAGCATCTCACTTCCCAGAATTGGTGGAGGCAGTGCGTGTGTGTGTGTGTGTGTGTGTGTGTGTGTGTGTGTGTGTCCCCCTTCACAGTGCTTAATACCAGAAATTGACCTGTCAGTGGTAGAGAGGCCAACTAATACCTTTTAAGGGACCTAGAGAGTGGCGACTCAGGTTTGGATCTGAGGTAGGCCAGTCCTGGCCCCAGCAACTCCTGCTATGTGACCTGGAGCAAGAATCTTAATTGATCTGATCCTCGATATTTCATCTACAAAATAAGGATAAAAATGGTACCCACGTCAAAAGGTCTTGGGTCTAATTAAATGAATGAATTCATGAATTGTATTCACTGGTTGGTCACCCCACAGGCACATGAAGTGTGTTTTCATGGGCATCAAAGGAAGGTGCTTTAAAAGAATTTGTTATTTAATATTTTATTAAAATAAGGCATAATGAGGGAAATCAGAACCATATTTACTTTCTTTATAGTTACCTTTCAGTTAAATATTATTTTGTATAATTTTCATATTTAATTACATATGTGAGGTCCCCATAATTTTTGCGGTGCGTGAAGGGCCCCCATAGTTTATTGTCCTTGCAGGGCCCAGGAAAGTGTAGGTCTTGGTGGCATCCTCTGGGGAGGAGCTGAGTGATGGGCAGCCAGGTCCACATAAGGTCCCCAACCCTTTCTTCCCAGAGACCAACTTGCTACCCCAGGAGCTGGCCACTGGGAAGTCTTTCCTTAGAGCCCTCCATCAGTGCTCTTACCTGGGATCCCACTTCCTTCAGGCCATGCTCAATTCTCTACCCCATGCCCTCATCAGGTACCCTCCCCCTGTGGTTCTCTGACCCCCAGATGGCCTCCCCTCTCATCCCTTTGACTTGTGGTGCCACCTAAAGACCATTTGGAGAATCTGGGGGTGGTTGTCACATGGTTGGTGAGACCCCAGGGGTGCTAGGAATCCTACAAGGCAGTTTCATACAACAAAGGATTGCCTGAGTCCTGCTCTACCTTTGAAGGTCTCACCTGGATGTTCAGACAGGTGAAGAATCCATTTATGTTCATTTGAGCCTACAACCTTTTTCCATTTGATTTGCAAACACAAAGTCATCTTTGCACAGTCTTAGTATAGCAAATTATTGTACTTCACATTGTTTGGAATTTTACAAGGAGTTGTTTACCATCTAAGAAAATCACACCATGAAGGCAACCATTCTCATGTTCATCTGCCCGGAATGCATTAGGAGCTGCCATGTTATGGGGCTTCCGAATATGGGGACAAACATCAGAAGACCTCATCACATCTTTAATGTCTTTGTGCTCCAGCATTCACATACTGACACACATATTACTTTATTTAAAATTACCTGTTTGTATGTATTTTTATTATATATTATAAACAACTGCCTTTATATTATAGCTAAGGCATCAGATTGATTTTTAAAATCGTAGGTATAGATAAATTATATTTTCTTTAATTTTTATTGAAGGCTTATAATGGGAAGCATTGCATTTATTATAAAAGTTGGCTCTGAGAATCTCACAAACATAATATGAGCAAAAATAGCCAGAAACTAAGGTGGTTTCTGAAATGAATGATTTCGTTTATTTGAAGTTCAAAACCAGACAAATGTGATTTATACTGTTAGAAGTCAGGATGGTGGTTCTTTTTGGGTGGTAGGAGTCTGATGAGGGTATGGGGGAATTGGGGGTGCTGGAAATGCACTTTTGTTGATCTGGATTGTGATTCCACAGATGTGTTCAGACTGTGAAAGTTCATTGAGTATATGTACTTTTCTGTATATATACTATGCTTCAATTTAAAAAAAGCAAAAAACAAAAAGCAAAGTTAACATCACCAGTAATGGGACAAATCAGCATCATGCGCCTGAGGACAATACAGGATCATTTTTGCAACATTCCTATGAAAAGTTTATAACTTGAGTTTCTTCTTGAGGAAACGCCTGACAAACTCAACTGAGGGACATCCTACTCCCTAACTGGTCTGTACTCTGCAATCATATCAATGTCACGAGAGACGAAGACAGACCAAGGAACTGCCAGAGAAAGGGAGACTAAAAGGACTGAACAATTGAATCCAATGCCTGATCCGGGAATTTTGGGGGGTTACAAAAAACATTATGGGGACAATTAGCAAAATCTAAATAAGGCATATTGATTATACAATGGTAATGTAACAACGTTAATTTCCTGATTTGATCCTTGTACTGTGATTGTGTAAGAGAATGTCCTTGTTTTTAGAAAAACTGCTGAAGTATTTAGGGGTCAAAGGGTATCATGGCTGCATCTTATTCTCAAACACTATGTATATATATATATGAGAGAGAACAAATGTGATAAAACAAGGAGTCTGTGTGACCAGTTTGTGCGTCTTCGTTGTGAGTTTTTTTTGTTTGTTTTTTTCAATTTTTCCATAAGCCTGAAATTATGCTAAAGTAAAAAGGTTTGGGAGTAAGGGGCTCTGGGTCTAAATGTTAGCTGTTCCTTTCCCTCTTCCCAGTTATTCCAGGTATCAGCGTGAAGAAGGGCAGAAAGAAGCAACCAAAGCCTGACATTTCCTGACATGGCCCAAGGCACCGAAGGTCCATCTCTAGGGGTCTTAGCTTATAGCAAGAGTTCAGTGAATTGGCTGAGGTTGGTCAGCTCTTGACTGTTGCCAGACACCTGAGTTTCTTTCCTCAACATGACCTCTGACCTCAGAGGGTGCCAGGATGGAGGTAGGCACCCAATGACTGTAGAGCTGGCTGTTGCTTCCCTGACTCAAGCCCCAGGAGTTCCTGGAGCCACCACCACTGGCGCCAGTTAAACAGGCAAGTTGGTGCTCAGCCCTCCACCCCAACCCAGGGTCAAAAAGCCCATGTGACCAGCTCTGTACCTTGCCAACCTGAGCCACATGGGGTGAGGAGCTCCCTTCCAGATCCCCTCTACATCCCCTGGGAACCACAGGCTTCTGGATTTAGTGCTGGGGCCAGGGTTTCAAAGGCTTGGCTGTCCCCAAAATGTCTTCTCAGCTCACTGGACCCTGTCTAAAATTATACCATTAGACCTCTGCTCTCCTAGGAGAAAAAGCATTTCCAAGCATCGACTTCTCCTAAAGTACAGATGCTGCTGTTGTGTGGGTCATAGTTCATGGACTTGTTTATGTGAAACACATGGAATGTCTTTATTTTCTGTAAATCAATTAAACCCCCATTATACTGGGCTGGTAGGAATTTCCTGTCACATTGATAGGCAAAGGTCTCAGGGTCTTGTGAGGCTCTTGCAGTTATCTGTTCCTGCTGGTTTTAGCACAGCACCATAGCCCCTTTCAGTTTAAGGGGCTCATGGGTCACCTACATCCTGAAATCCAGAGCTATCTGCCTCCAGCTCGATCACAGCCTGACTCTGTTTCTGGAAAATCTGCTTCCTCTCCTCCCTCAAGTCCTAACTTGGGCCCCTCGGGGCTCCCACAGACCCATTTTATAGATACGGAAGCCAAGGCCAAGAGAAGAGGTCACACAGCAGACTGAAAAGATGGTGATAAAATCATACCCCCATATGGTGTTACTGACTGTAAGCCCCTCCAGGGGCACTTCATTTCATCAGGAGACCATGTCTTAACTGAGCACTGAAGCTCAAATGACAAGATTTCAGGCTCCATGACAGGCAAGTAGGGAATTATTCCCTGTAAAGGTCTTTTTGACATGTAAAGTTCTCCTGATGAGTGAACAGCACTGGACCGAGAGTCGTAAACCCTGAATCTCCCACCAACTCACTTCAGCAGACTTTGTTCCTTCTTTGGATCTCAGTTCTTCTATCTGGAGAGTGGGGTCAGACCAGGAATTCTTTCAGCTTAGATACTCTGGGATTCCCTGGGCAGCTTATTAATTTCTGCCATGGCTTCCTCTGGCTGAAAGAGTTGTACTATCACAAAATTCAACTCTTGAACACTCAGGAGCAGCAACAGCAACAACCCATTCCCCAGTTGCCTGGAGGCCTGAGTAACTGGAGAGACAGGCCCCTGGATGGAAAGGTAAACTTCTGCGTGGCATTTGAGGCCTCTAGACCTTGGAGACCCATATTTCCAGCCACACACCCCTCTTTGTTGATACATGCTGAGCGAGAGCCAGGCCTTTCTCCTCTGTGTCTGGTAAATGTTCACAGGAGCTGCTGAGGCTCCTGTGCCTCTGCTGGAATGCCAACTACAGTTGACCCTTGAACAACACAGAGGTTAGGGGCGCTATTCCTCCATGCGGTCAAAAATCCACATATAACTTTTGACTCCCCCAAAACTTAACTACTAATGGCCTGCTGTTGACTGGAAGCCTTACCAATGACATAAATAGTTGATTAACACATATTTTGTATGTTACATGTATTATAGCAGTTCAAACCCATGTCATTCAAGAGTCAACTGTACTTTGCTCTGGGCCCCTCTTCCAGGAAGCCCTCTCGGACTAATGAAGTCTCTTCAACCAAGCCAGGACACTTCTTGGGGATACTATCACCTTCCCACATTCTTAAAAGTCTCTTGTGGTCAGTTTCTTGCTGAGGGTCTTGGCCTTCTCCTGGGGAATAGCAAAAGTCCTGCAGAGTGGCCTGGGGTCAGGGTCAGCCAGGATGGAGTGAGGTTGGGGTTAGGGAGGTTTCTTGGAGGAGGATGGAGAGAGCCAAGTTGGCATCATATGTTCTGAGACTGCCCTTATGGAGGACAGAGTCTTGGCAGATCTGACTCCTGCCACCACCTTGCCTGGCTACAGGCCCAGCCAGAGGGCCTGCTTGGACTCCTTGCTAGCAGATGGCCCTGCAGAGAGTAACATTTATTTCAGGCTGTTCTATCCACTATGGTAACCACTGGCCACATGCACTCTTGGGCACTAGCAATGTGGCTAGTCTGAGTCAAGGTGTGCTGTAAGTATAAAATACACACTGGATTTCAAAAGTTTAACCAAAAAAATGTAAAATATCTCCTAAATTTTTTTATATTGATAATGTTAAAATAATATATTTTGGATATAATTGAGTTAAATAAAATATATTATTCAAATTAAATATACTTGTTTCTTTTTATCTTTTAAAATAGAGCTGCTAGAAAATTTTTAATTACATATGTGGTTCACATGACATCATTTCCATTTTACAGAGAAGGACACAAGCTTCAGAGGCCTTGAGTGACACGTGGTGCAAAGCCCAGGTGTGAAGGATGGTGCATCTGCTCTAGAGTTTGTGAGCAGAGAAGATACCAAAAGGAATACATTTTCCAGGCCCTGCCTCTGGCTGCAGGACAAATACCAGAACCTTCCATGCTCAAAAAGTCACATTACCCACTCTTCTCAGAATCTTGATGAACCAACAGTACATTCTGCCTTTGAGGGTGGGCTCAGAGCTGATGCTGTGACCCATGGACATGGGAACTCCCCAGGATGTCCAGGCTGGGCAGACACTACTATCCGATCACCTTCCCCACCCCCAGGCCGGTCCAGCTGCAGCTGACAGGCCCTATTGGCTTGGACATCAGCGTGGCCCCCTTTCAGACATCAACTCTTCTAGCAACTTTGTTAAGTTACTTTGTAACCTTCAACCCCGGACCTGTCTCTGTCCCTCTTCCCAACCCTTGTTCAGGGCACGGACCACTCTCCCCACAGATGAGTGCCTTGGGAAGTCGGTGTCCCTGGCCTGCCCTAAGGGGAGCCCCTTCCCAGGGCCTCTGCAGCAGTGGCAGCTGTAGAGGTAACCGTGGAGTTGGGAGCAAGTCTTCTGCAGGCAGAGCTCTGGGGCACTGGGTCTTCACAGCCACCCTATCTCCAGAGACCAGCCCTGGAGAAGGGAGACTCTCTCTTCAGAGTTCAGGGCCTGGCTCCTCCAGGAGGTGCTTTGAGGGAAGGCTGTGCCCCTACCCTGGCCACAGACTGGGCATGCTGTGACCACTAGCCTGAGCCCCCAGCCCAGATCTCTTTGACAGCCACCCTGGCTCCCCAGAGAGGCCTTCTCAGGGATCGTGGGAACAAGCAGAGCCCATCTTTTCTTGGGTGCCCCAAATGCCCAGCATCACTTCCAGGAGGCAATCTTGCCTCAATTGAGGATTCAGGATCCAGTCCTGGGTCTCTTGGAGCCAGGTTTGCTGGAGGCATTTGGGAACCAGCTGGGCATCTCATTTGGATGTAATAGGGTCAAAACTCGGGTTGTGATTATAACATAAAGAGGCCACTTTCGGTTTTAAAATAGTTTTAAATTGAAAAAATGAATTAAGGAGAAGGATTTAGAGAGTGAGGATTCTTGGAAGCCTTGGGATGATTATTATAAAACCAGCTCCCATCTCTCAAGTCCTCTGTGGTGTCAGGACTGTGATGCCACCATCCTCGATTGAGGCTAGCAAGGTCCCTGGCACGATCAGTAGTATCAGACCTGTTGTGCCTTCTCCATGTGGCCACTACCATACCCATCTGTCCCTCTGTCGTACCATGCTCTGGCACAGAGTAAGGGAATTTATCAAATAGACCCAGGTTCAAATCTTGCTCTCCTACTTGCCTACTTACCCTCCCCCAGCCTCATCATCCTCATCTGTAAAAGGGGGGTAATGACAGTTCTTGGATCAAGGCGAGAGAGCCAGATATCTGCCCCAGGCCCTTTGCCTGCCTTCAGAGGCAGCATGACCAGCATTACTTCCCTGCTGCCACCTATCCCCAGCTGGACAAACACTGTCTTCCAGACACCACCCTTCTCACAGTCTCCTGAATTATGGAGAGAGAAAAGGGCCTCTAGATCAGACCAGGAGTGCCTGCAGGAACAAAGCTGTCTTCCAGCCATCCTGGGTCCCCTCTCTTACCCACCGCCTTTGGTTAAGATGCTCCAAAGTAGCCCCCACCCACCACCTCCCTCCTCAGCTGAGACCCAAACATCCCACTCCTTCCTTATTCTTCCCTCCAGGGGCCCAAAAATGCTGTGTGTCCACCCTAGTGAGCTCCGCCCCAGTCCATGTGGAGGCCTCACTCTCCACCCAGGGACATATCCCACACTCTCCTCTCCCTCACAGATAGCCAAATGCTGTCTTTTGGGCTTTACCTCCTGAATCTCTCTCTTCTAGCCCTCTACTCCCCCATCTCCACCACGCTGTCCCTTCTTCTAGCCCTTGGCCACCACTTCCTTCCTGCTGCCACTCCTGCCTGCCCAGCTACGCTCCACAGGGATCTACCCCCTTTGAACGACAGGCCGTGGCCCCCTCTACCCCAGATCCTTTATGACTCCCCATTAGCCTTGGGAGAGAGTCCCAGGCCCTCCCCCAGTCCCACTGGTGCTTTTCAGCTCCACAAATACTCTGGGCTCTTTCTCAGCTCTGAGCTTGCACACCTGCCCTTCCCTCAGCTTCAAACATATTATCC